GTAGTGTGTAGGTGGTAGAGACTTACAGGTGTAGGGTGTAGGTGGTAGAGACTTACAGGTGTAGGGTGTAGGGTGTAGGTGGTAGAGACTTACAGGTGTAGGGTGTAGGAGGTAGAGACTTACAAGTGTAGGGTGTAGGTGGTAGAGACGTACAGGCATAGTGTGTAGGAGGTAGAGACTTACAGGTATAGTGTGTAGGAGGTAGAGACTTACAGGTGTAGTGCGTAGGAGGTAGAGACTTGCAGGTGTTCGTAGTGTGTAGGAGGTAGATACTTACAAGTGTAGTGTTTAGGAGGTAGAGACTTACAGGTGTATGCAGTGTCTAGGAGATAGAGACTTACAGGTGTAGTGTGTAGAAGGTAGAGACTTACAGGCATAGTGTGTAGGAGGTAGAGACTTACAGGTGTAGTATGTAAGAGGTAGAGACTTACAGGTGTATGTAATGTGCAGGAGGTAGAGACTTACAGGTGTATGTAGTGTGTAGGAGGTAGAGATTTACAGGTGAAGTGTGTAGGAGGTAGAGACTTACAGGTGTAGGAGGTAGGAGGTAGATACTTACAGGTGTATGTAATGTGTAGGAGGTAGAGACTTCCAGGTGTAGTGTGTAGGAGGGAGAGACTTACAGGTGTAGTGTGTAGGAGGTAGAGACTTACATGTGTAGTGTGTAGGAGGTAGATACTTACAGGTGTAGTGTGTAGGAGGTAGATACTTACAGGTGTAGTGTGTAGGAGGTAGAGACTTACAGGTGAAGTGTGTAGGAGGTAGAGACTTACAGGTGTAGTATGTAAGGTGAAGTGTGTAGGAGGTAGAGACTTACAGGTGTAGTGTGTAGGAGATAGAGACTTACAGGTGTATGTAATGTGTAGGAGGTAGAGAATTACAGGTGTATGTAGTGTGTAGGAGGTAGTATGTAATGTGTAGGAGGTAGAGACTTACAGATGTAGTGTGTAGGAGGTAGAGACTTACAGGTGTAGGAGATAGGAGGTAGATACTTACAGGTGTATGTAATGTGTAGGAGGTAGAGACTTACAGGTGTAGTATGTAAGGTGAAGTGTGTAGGAGGTAGAGACTTACAGGTGTAGTATGTAGGAGGTAGATACTTACAGGTGTAGTGTGTAGGAGGTAGAGACTAACAGGTGTAGTGTGTAGGTGGTAGAGACTTACAGGTGTAGTGTGTAGGAGATAGAGACTTACAGGTGTATGTAATGTGTAGGAGGTAGAGAATTACAGGTGTATGTAGTGTGTAGGAGGTAGATACTTACAGGTGTAGTGTGTAGGAGGTAGACTTACCACCATAGAGTAACAGGTGTAGTGTGTAAGAGGTAGATACTTACAGGTGTAGTGTGTAGGAGGTAGACTTACCACCATAGAGTAACAGGTGTAGTGTGTAAGAGGTAGATACTTACAGGTGTAGTGTGTAGGAGGTAGAGACTTAACACCATAGAGTTAGAGGAGTAGTGTGTAGGTGGTAGAGACTTACCAGCATAGAGTCAGAGGTGTAGTGTGTAGGAGGTAGAGACTTTCCACCATAGAGTTAGAGGCGTAGTGTGTAGGTGGGAGAGACTTACCAGCATAGAGTTAGAGGTGTAGGAGGTAGAGACTTTCGACCATAGAGTTAGAGGCGTAGTGTGTAGGTGGTAGAGACTTAACAGCATAGAGTTAGAGGTGTAGTGTGTAGGTGGTAGAGACTTACAGGCGTAGTGTGTAGTGTGCAGAGACTTACCACCATAGAGTTAGAAGTGTAGTGTGTAGGAGGTAGAGACTTACCACCACAGAGTAACAGGTGTAGTGTGTAAGAGGTAGATACTTACAGGTGTAGTGTGTAGGAGGTAGAGACTAACAGGTGTATGTAATGTGTAGGAGGTAGAGAATTACAGGTGTATGTAGTGTGTAGGAGGTAGAGACTTACAGGTGAAGTGTGTAGGAGGTAGAGACTTACAGGTGTAGGAGATAGGAGGTAGATACTTACAGGTGTATGTAGTGTGTAGGAGGTAGAGATTTACAGGTGAAGTGTGTAGGAGGTAGAGACTAACAGGTGTATGTAGTGTGTAGGAGGTAAAGAGATACTTACAAGTGTAGTGTTTAGGAGGTAGAGACTTACAGGTGTATGCAATGTCTAGGAGGTAGAGACTTACAGGTGTATGTAGTGTGTAGGAGGTAGAGATTTACAGGTGAAGTGTGTAGGAGGTAGAGACTTACAGGGGTAGTATGTAAGAGGTAGAGACTTACAGGTGTATGTAATCTGCAGGAGGTAGAGACTTACAGGTGTATGTAATGTGTAGGAGGTAGAGACTTACAGGTGTAGGAGGTAGAGACTAACAGGTGTATGTAATGTGTAGGAGGTAGAGACTTACAGGTGTAGGAGATAGGAGGTAGATACTTACAGGTGTATGTAATGTGTAGGAGGTAGAGACTTACAGGTGTAGGAGGTAGAGACTAACAGGTGTATGTAATGTGTAGGAGGTAGAGACTTCCAGGTGTAGTGTGTAGGAGGGAGAGACTTACAGGTGTAGTGTGTAGGAGGTAGAGACTTACAGGTATAGTGTATTGGTGGTAGAGACTTACAGGTGTAGTGTGTAGGAGGTAGAGACTAACAGGTGTATGTAATGTGTAGGAGGTAGAGAATTACAGGTGTATGTAGTGTGTAGGAGGTAGAGACTTACAGGTACAAGTGTAGTGTTTAGGAGGTAGAGACTTACAGGTGTATGCAGTGTCTAGGAGATAGAGACTTACAGGTGTAGTGTGTAGAAGGTAGAGACTTACAGGCATAGTGTGTAGGAGGTAGAGACTTACAGGTACAAGTGTAGTGTTTAGGAGGTAGAGACTTACAGGTGTATGCAATGTCTAGGAGGTAGAGACTTACAGGTGTATGTAATGTGTAGGAGGTAGAGAATTACAGGTGTATGTAGTGTGTAGGAGGTAGAGATTTACAGGTGAAGTGTGTAGGAGGTAGAGACTAACAGGTGTATGTAATGTGTAGGAGGTAGAGAATTACAGGTGTATGTAGTGTGTAGGAGGTAGAGATTTACAGGTGAAGTGTGTAGGAGGTAGAGACTTACAGGTGTAGTATGTAAGAGGGAGAGACTTACAGGTGTATGTAATGTGCAGGAGGTAGAGACTTACAGGTGTATGTAGTGTGTAGGAGGTAGTATGTAATGTGTAGGAGGTAGAGACTTACAGGTGTATGCAGTGTCTAGGAGATAGAGACTTACAGGTGTAGTGTGTAGAAGGTAGAGACTTACCACCATAGAGTTAGAGGCGTAGTGTGTAGGAGGTAGAGACTTACCAGCATAGAGTTAGAGGGGTAGTGTGTAGGAGGAAGAGACTTTCGACCATAGAGTTAGAGGCATAGTGTGTAGGGGGTAGAGACTTACCACCAAAGAGTTAGAGGCATAGTGTGTAGGTGGTAGAGACTTACCACCATAGAGTTAGAGGTGTAGTGTGTAGGAGGTAGAGACTTTCGACCATAGAGTTAGAGGCATAGTGTGTAGGTGGTAGAGACTCACCACCATAGAGTTAGAGGCATAGTGTAGGTGGTAGAGTCTTACCACAGTAGAGTTAGAGGCATAGTGTGTAGGTGGTAGAGACTGACCACCATAGAGTTAGAGGCGTAGTGTGTAGGTGGTAGAGACTTACAACCATAGAGTTAGAAGGGTAGTGTGTAGGAGGTAGAGATTTACAGGTGAAGTGTGTAGGAGGTAGAGACTCACCACCATAGAGTTAGAGGCATAGTGTAGGTGGTAGAGTCTTACCACAGTAGAGTTAGAGGTGTAGTGTGTAGGTTGTAGAGACTTACCACCATAGAGAAGGAGCTAAAGACTTACAGGTGTATGTCGTGTGTAGGATGTAGAGACTTACAGGCGTAGTGTGTAGGTGGTAGAGACTTACAACCATAGAGTTAGAAGTGTAGTGTGTAGGTGGTAGAGACTTACCACCATAGAGTTAGAGGTGTAGTGTGTAGGTGGTAGAGTCTTACCACAGTAGAGTTAGAGGTGTAGTGTGTAGGTGGTAGAGACTGACCACCATAAAGTTAGAGGCGTAGTGTGTAGGTGGTAGAGACTTACAGGTGTAGTGTGTAAGTGGTAGAGACTTACAGGTGTAGTATGTAGGAGGTAGATACTTACAGGTGTAGGAGGTAGAGACTAACAGGTGTATGTAGTTTGTAGGAGGTAGAGACTTACAGGTGTAGGAGGTAGAGACTAACAGGTGTATGTAGTGTGTAGGAGGTAAAGACTTACAGGTGTAGTGTGTAGGAGGTAGACTTACCACCATAGAGTAACAGGTGTAGTGTGTAAGAGGTAGATACTTACAGGTGTAGTGTGTAGGAGGTAGATACTTACAGGTGTAGTGTGTAGGAGGTAGACTTACCACCATAGAGTAACAGGTGTAGTGTGTAAGAGGTAGATACTTACAGGTGTAGTATGTAGGAGGTAGATACTTACAGGTGTAGGAGGTAGAGACTAACAGGTGTATGTAGTTTGTAGGAGGTAGAGACTTACAGGTGTAGTGTGTAAGTGGTAGAGACTTACAGGTGTAGTATGTAGGAGGTAGAGACTTACAGGTGTATGTAGTGTGTAGGAGGTAAAGACTTACAGGAGTAGTGTGTAGGAGGTAGAGACTTACCCCCATAGAGTTAGAGGTGTAGTGTGTAGTGTGTAGAGACTTACCACCATAGAGTTAGATGTGTAGTGTGTAGGTGGTAGAGACTTAGGAGGCAAAGACTTACAGGTGTATGTAGTGTGTAGGAGGGAGAGACTTACAGGTGTAGTGTGTAGGAGGTAGATACTTACAGGTGTAGGAGGTAGAGACTAACAGGTGTATGTAGTTTGTAGGAGGTAGAGACTTACAGGTGTAGGAGGTAGAGACTAACAGGTGTATGTAGTGTGTAGGAGGTAAAGACTTACAGGAGTAGTGTGTAGGAGGTAGAGACTTACAACCATAGAGTTAGAAGTGTAGGGTGTAGGAGGTAGAGACTTACAGGTGAAGGAGGTAGGAGGTAGATACTTACAGGTGTATGTAGTGTGTAGGAGGTAAAGACTTACAGGAGTAGTGTGTAGGAGGTAGAGACTTACAGGCATAGTGTGAAGAAGGTAGAGACGTACAGGTGTAGTGTGTAGGAGGTAGAGACTTACAGGTATAGTGTGTAGGAGGTAGAGACTTACAGGTGAAGGAGGTAGGAGGTAGATACTTACAGGTGTATGTAATGTGTAGGAGGTAGAGACTTACAGGTGAAGTGTGTAGAAGGTAGAGACTTACAGGTATAGTGTGTAGGAGGTAGAGACTTACAGGTGTAGTGTGTAGGAGGTAGAGACTTACAGGCGTAGTGTGTAAGTGGTAGAGACTTACAGGTGTAGTGTGTAGGTGGTAGAGACTTACCACCATAGAGTTAGAGGTGTAGTGTGTAGGAGGTAGAGACTTACAGGTGTATGTAGTGTGTAGGAGGTAGAGACTTACAGGCGTAGTATGTAGGAGGTAGAGACTTACAGGTGTAGTGTGAAGGAGGTAAAGACTTACAGGTGTATGTCGTGTGTAGGATGTAGAGACTTACAGGCGTAGTGTGTAGGTGGTAGAGACTTACAGGCGTAGTGTGTAAGAGGTAGAGACTTACAGGTGTAGTGTGTAGGAGATAGAGACTTACAGGTGTAGTGTGTTGGAGGCAGAGACTTACAGGGGTATGTAATGTGTAGGAGGTAGAGACTTACAGGTGAAGTGTGTAGGAGGTAAAGACTTACAGGTGAAGTATGTGGAGGTAGATACTTACAGGTGTAGTGTGTAGGAGATAGAGACTTACAGGTGTAGTGTGTTGGAGGTAGAGACTTACAGGTGTATGTAATGTGTAGGAGGTAGAGACTTACAGGTGTAGTGTGTAGGAGGTAGAGACTTACCACCATAGAGTTAGAGGTGTAGTGTGTAGGTGGTAGAGACTTACCACCATAAAGTTAGAGGTGCAGTGTGTAGGTGGTAGAGACTTAGAGGTGTAGTGTGTAGGTGGTAGAGACTTAGAGGTGTAGTGTGTAGGTGGTAGAGACTTACCACCATAAAGTTAGAGGTGCAGTGTGTAGGTGGTAGAGACTTAGAAGTGTAGTGTGTAGGAGGTAGAGACTTACCACCATAGAGTTAGAGGTCTAGTGTGTAGGAGGTAGAGACTTACCACCATAGAGTTAGAGGTCTAGTGTGTAGGAGGTAGAGACTTACCACCATAGAGGTAGAGGTCTAGTGTGTAGGAGGTAGAGACTTACCACCATAGAGTTAGAGGTCTAGTGTGTAGGAGGTAGAGACTTACCACCATAGAGTTAGAGGTGCAGTGTGTAGGTGGTAGAGACTTAGAAGTGTAGTGTGTAGGAGGTAGAGACTTACCACCATAGAGTTACAGGTGGAGTGTGTAGGAGGTAGAGACGTACAGGTGTAGGTAGTGTGTAGGAGGTAGAGACTTATCACCATAGAGTTAGAGGTGCAGTGTGTAGGTGGTAGAGACTTAGAAGTGTAGTGTGTAGGAGGTAGAGACTTACCACCATAGAGTTAGAGGTCTAGTGTGTAGGAGGTAGAGACTTACCACCATAGAGTTAGAGGCAGATTCACTGTTGGAAAGCAGGTAGTCCATGTAATCCTCTAGACCTGGCAAACAGATTAACTCCTCTGTACTGATGAATATAACGGTTAAACTGCACAATCCATCTTAATATGAAGGTTGTGAATGACATCTAGTTTTACTGTTATGAACTCTAGAGATACAAAGCAATTAAATACTGTAATGTTGTTATATCAAAAGATATAAGATTAAATCACTGCCTTTCCATTTTTTGTCCTTCTAACGTACTAAAACCTAGAAAAAGAATCAATAATAACACTGAAATATTGTTCATTCTTGACTGATTTCCTTTTTAATTAAACAGTTAAATCTGATAACTGATGTTTTTTCTCATTACATCATGCCCATGTTGATTTGACTTTCTTAACCTCAATAAGTTTAAATGCAAAAATGTTTAAATACAACTTTGGGAATTTTATGAACGTTTCTAGAAATATATACAAACATTAAACGACACACATTGTCCCAACTTCTCACCGGCTGGATTGATATATATCATAATCATGTGGAGTCATTGGTTTGTGATATTGACTTAGTTTTACTATTTATAGAAAAAGCAGGTCAATATTAAGTTCATGACATCATTTCAATTGCGACATGACAAAGCTCTGTGTGCCTAACACAGTACTTTCCCCCCTGACAATGGTCATACGTTCCAACTTTCACCTCAATAAGTCCACAATGGATCAGTTTTGGTGTGTCGTCTTCATACAGTCATCTTTAATCCTTAATCATCCTAAATCCCCATGCACTTGATTTCAGTTTTACTTTTGTTTTAAATATTCTACATCAATGTTATGCACTTATTAATAAAACTGAAGTTCTGTAGGAGGCTACTGACCAGGAATGTCGGCCAGGACATCCAGCCCTGTAGCTCGCTGACCATCCCGGCCGATGTTGTCCAGAACCTGGACCTGTGGCAGTGACCCCAGGATATTAACTCTGTACCCTGAAACAATAAATAAAGAGGGATAATGAAAGTGGTTCAATACCCAGTATATAAAAAAAAACACGTTATTAATGGGAGGACACTCTGTAACTCATGTAAAAGAGAGATGATTGAATAGATCACTCTGTACACAGTAATATATGAGAAAGGGGAGATAATTATTGGTAGATCACCCTGTAACTCATGTAAATGTGTGATGATTTAATAAATCACTATGCATATTTGAGAGAGGGGAGGTTAAAGGGGAAATCACTCTGAAACACGTAGTAAAGGGAAGATCATCAAATAAAAGATCATTCTACACACTGTAACATATGAGTATGATAAAGAGAGAAATGGATGTTCTCGCTGTACAGTTAACACATGGTAAATAGGAGGTTATTAGGGGGGTAATCATTCTATATACCCTACAGCTGTTATACATGTACAATAAAGGGAGATAATTTGTGGGGAGATCACATTGTACTAGGAAAGATTCTTTATATTAAATAAAGGATAGATAATTTCTTCAACCTAACCTGATAACTCATGGTAATGGGAAAATAAAGGGTTCTGGTGAAGGGACTAAAAGAATAAGGAACTTGCCCAAATATATACAAGCATGCATGTAACCTCTGATCAAAGTCATGCTACTGCTAACAGAATATTTAGATCAAAAATAATAAGCACCGATATTCCCTACAGCGATCCTTCTCAAAACCAATCACCTCTTGATACCATTCTTTCTTATTTATAGAAATAATTAAATTCCCAATACTTGTCCTTCTTAACTCCGACACAGAACCCATTTTTTGCCCAGAATCATTAAAATATTCACCAAATTACTTCCGTAAAATGGCCTTACCTGAGCTACGCTTACACGATTTGTCCTATAAACAATGAAATCAACACCTGTGATGGGAGTCATCAAATAAATTGTTCTTCAGGGCAGACACTGATAATTTTCAGAAACAATAGCTACACTGAAAGGGTCATTAGTGATTTACATTGTGTATGATCAGCCAAGTTGAAACCATCATATGTTTCATCGCATTGGAACGATCTTAGACTTTATCATAACAAACAGAGGTAGTAAGCCCCTGTTTCGCACTTATCAGTAATTTGCCTGAGGCCTCATCAGGGTTATTCTTACATCCCTGCCAGAGCAGCTACAATATGTATATCCCAATCTGGGTCAACTACATTCACTTCTGCAAACCAAACCCTCCAGCGATTCCTAAACCAGCCAATCATATCATTTCAACAGAAGTTATGGACGACTGATGCTGTGGGTGTAACTGAGGACACTACATTCTAACATACCAGCCTGGTTACATAGTGGGTTTGATGAGCCATCAGCATTGAGGTTGAGCTGTCGCAAGTTGACAAGGCCAGACAGACACTCCGACACGTGTTGAGATGAGGACAGCTTGTTACCCTGTAGTTCTATATGGGTTAGCTTGAAGTTTGGACCAGTCACAGACTTAAAGCCAAAAATATTTGTTATTTGGTTGTAGCTCAAATTCACTTTCACTAAAGATCTGAAAAAAGAAACAAGAAAACAACCTTACTACAAATATTTTCTCTCTGGGAAAAAAGAGTGAAGTAATTGTCAGTGCTCACATACAGTCCAAATATATATAATTTGGCTGAAATGTTGGGATTGTGAGTGGTCATTGTTTTATCAAGAAACAAAAAGATTTTTGTTTTAATTACAAAATCGGTCTTTTCTATTTCATTGCACACAAACATATATAACTGTAAATTTTACACTCAGACACTCAATACTATCTCCAAGGATTTCCCCGGAATAAAATATATGTCATGTTTATGTATTGTTAATGTTCACTCATGGTACTTGCTGTTTTAGCTCATTATGTACTTATTTATGACCATAACTTCTTACCTCAGTCCAGCCAGACCTCGCACATCTGTCAAAAAGTTACATGACAAGTTCAACGTCCTCAGAGAGTCAAGTCGGTCCAGGCCGTCAATGAAATTAATTTGATTTGATGACAGATCCAGATGTTTTAAACTGTGCAGATGACTGAGATTGTCGATGACCTGGATGTAGTTTCCATGGAGATTTAGGCTGTGGAGGTGAGTCCTGAGAGGAACCTGTTGTAAGGAGCTGATCCCTGAGTCAATCAGACACAACTCATGAGATTCAGTGTCCACCATGTTTGATCAACAGTTGATTCTAAATAAATGTCAGTTCATTCCTTAAGTTCCAAGTTAACCCTAACTATACACACTGCATGAACACACCATCTACAGCCATGCTGGTTATTGTCACAAATTCTGCAAAAGAAAGAATTGATGAACAAATATTTTACTCCAAGAATGACCAAGAAAACCATGTTCATTGCAATATAACGCGCTAACTAATGCACACTATTCATTTTGTTTGCAATCCTGTTCAGTGTTATAGGACCATAACACGGAACAGAATGCTGTTTAATGCTTAAATTTACACAAAATTTGATAATTTGATAAAAATATTTTATTTGAAATAGCAACAATAACACTTAAACAATGATATATAAAAACAGCGACAAAATATACTACTCACATTTTGCTAAGGATCACCTATATTTTGAAAAAAAAAAATAATGTTATAGGATATTATATTTTCCTTCAGTGCTCTTCCAAATCGTCCTGTGTTGTTGTGTTCAGTCAACCATAAAAGCGTGTGCACGCTGTACAGGTACCCCTTTCAAAAGCTAAGCTAGCTAGGCTAAGTAAGATGTTCAAATTGTTAAGGAAATCAATTTGATAAATATTCTTAGCTTGTTTTTGTTGTAATACGGCACAAAGACGAACCAGACAACGGTCAAATGACGGTGAAATGAATAGCGGCATCAGAATGCTGCAAGCTGGCATGTCTCAACGTCAGACCTTGGGGTGTCTCAAAGTGTGTTGGCAAGAATGTGGAATCGTTTCCAAACTAACGGAAACCCTTAAGCTTCCAGACATCATGCTGGAGGTCGTTCTAGGGCTACAATGCAGCACCAAGACCGATTTTTGCTCATACAGGAATCACAGGTTCCAGACTAGCTGCCACAGCTTTACGAAATGACCACCTAAATGCTTTTGGTACCCGGGTAGCCACTCAGACAGTTAGGAACCTTCTTCATGATGCTGGTTTAAGGTCAGGTAGACCAACAATACGAGTTCCCTTAACTGCCTGCCATGTTAGGCACCGATCAGATTGGGCCCAAGCTCACAGCTCACTCTTCAGGAATGGGAACCAGTTCTTTTTACTGACGAGTCCAGATTCTGTCTCGACTTCACTGACAGGCGCGTTAGAGTATGGAGTTAGACAGACAACTGGGGAGAGGTTCCAGGCAGGTAGCGTTGTTGACCGATATGGCGGAGGTTCTGTGATGGTGTGGGGAGGCATAAGCCTTCGTGGGAAAACTGACCTCCATGTCTTCAATAATGGTACCGTTACGGCCCGGATTTACTGCGATGAAATCCTTAATTGATGCCTATGTCAGACCCTTACGCTGGCGCTATCAGCCCTGACTTTATCCTTATGGATACTAATGCTAGGCCACATAGAACAAGGGTGACTGAGCAGTATCTACAGCAAGAGATCTAGACTATTCAACGAATGGATTGTCCAGCCCACACACCGGATCTAAATCCCATTGAGCATGAGTGGAACATGTTGCAGACAGCTCTCTCTGCCAGAAATGTTCAACCAAGACCGCTAGCTCCAGGAGCTGGGAACAGCTTTGGTAGCTGAGTGGAACGCTATCCCACAAAACCGGATATGCGATCTCATTCGGGGCATGCGCAGATGTTGTGAAGCTGTAATCGATGCTCATGGGCGTCACACTCGATACTAAAACAGTTTCTGTTTATTTAGAGTTTTGTACAATTTAAGTTTTTTAGTGAATACCTCGTTGTTACCAATTTTTCAAAAATAATCTCTGGTATAAACCAAATAAAATATTTATTTTCACATATGCCAAAAAATAAAAGTGATCCATAGCAAAATGTGAGTAGTATATGTACACAAGAGTACAGCAAGGTTGGAACAATTTAATAAACTCCAAACCCATGCCAAAATGACGTTCATAAAATTGTATAAATCTACATTTATATGAAAATATGGAAATGAACGCCAAGATTTTTTGTCATATCTCCCGAGTCCCTACGTGGGCGCTAATGTAAGTCATTATTTTTTCAATCCCTCTGCCAGGAGTCGAACCGGGACCTCTTGTTTACTGGTAAATGATCATGAGCTGAAGAAAATTCTCCCTAGCTGAGTCAGTAGGAAACGGCTAGTATTTTACAAGGGTGACATGGATTTTTTTTTTTTTTAAATTTTCTCATTTAATCAGGGCATGCTTGTCTCTGTAAACATGGAAATGTTCATAAAGTGACAAACGACATAGCATTAAATCAGGTTCAACCAGCACCAGCTAATAATCTTTTCACTTGCATTGCTTGGTCCGTCATGCACGAGGAAATTCCGACAACACATAACTACGTACATTCGTCCTATATACGTAAAGTTATACTTGATCATATAGGTCCTAGCCAAATGGGCCTGTATAGACAGACTTGTCGGTGATCCGGAATGAGATACTGATACAGATTTCATTCAGATGCCCCACATCACAGGAACCTACTTTTTACAGACATTTTGTAATTTCGCGACGGATCTGTCTCTGAACCATATACAGTTTAATTCCTAATTACGCTATGTCCCTCGATACAATATACTCACGTAAAGCGTACTGAATGAACGCGATATGAAATCCATTTCAGTTTGTTTTTACCTCTTCCTCAGCAAGTTTATACTTGCCGCTGTCAATTGATCAGGATCGACCACACGCTTTATCTATTCTTCACATTGCTAGCAACCGTTAATTTGACTCAGATATTACCGTACGTTGTCGTAAAATATTTGTTCTTGTTCTTTTCCTTTAAAAAAAATCCTACATACAATTTAAAAAGATATGAATTACTTTAAGATAATTTTAGCCCTTCATTTATTTTTCTAGATAAAGTAGACTAGACTTACTCCTTTTTTTCCTTATGCGCTCGGAAACAATCGGGACTTTACCTTAGATTATATAGATAAACAGAACTGATGTTTATTATTAATTAAGTATGCCATATAGTGAATCAAAGTTTTACACTGAATATTAGATTAATTAAAATCGATCCTCATATTACTGACAGTTGACAATTCACATGAAAGACAGTACACGATGTCAGATATTATTCGATACCTCTTTGGACTTTTCATTCCTTTATATGAAACGAGGAATCAGATGACAATTTTAATGTTGATGTCATGTCGGACCTTTATATTTTTGGCGGTTATTAATGACGCACATTCTTCAATGTGATCGATTTGTCCGTTAGGATGTGTCTTGTTGCCTTCTCTTCCAGTAAGGTTTAACACCAAGGATGGGTAGCATGCTCCCGTAAAGCGGTATGAACCAACAGACAAGATTACAACAAATTTAATAACAAGGAAGTTATGTTGAAACGTTCCCTGAGGGTAAGTCCTGTGTTCCCCAAGGGTTGTAATTTTGATTCTGTGACAGCCAATGTGGTTGACATGTACGCTCGTTGGGTTTTCATTCTAAACATACACTACAATATCCTTGTTGGTGTGTCAACAACTTCGTATACTGACATTCTGGTTACTAAGTAAGTAGCATGGAGAATTCTGTTCTGTATTGTGGTAGAAGGTATTTCACTATACAACAATCTTTATTAATGCATGTCATTCATCGCAATATTAAAAGTCCATTTTTAAAACTTGAAAACTTATATAAATACTGTACTTTTTAAAGTCTTATTTCATTTCTGTTTCAGGTTGCTAAATGATGTGGATTCATTGACTTACATGCATATACTAAATAAGTATCACTTCAAAATACAACATGAGATTCTTTCAGAGATTTGTGTCTCACTCACGTCCTTCAGTGCGCACTTTGTTTGTTGAAAGTCAAAACTCTAATGTGACATATGAAGCCATGTCACATTTGATGCTGAGGTATAACTTTCATCCCCTTCAAAAATCCCAGACATATGTCCCAAAATGTCTCAGTGCAACATCCCCTTCAGACGTTCTTATTGGGGCAGATTTAGAAGAAGTGGAGGATTTTTCAGCAGGCTGCTGGCTTCAGGACCACCTCCATCAGTTTGGAAATGGAATTTCCGAGTTAGTGACCCCTAGTGCCAGGGAGACACAAGACATTGATAATGATTCAATAGACAGTCAAACATGTTCTGGAAGTGATGTTACTACTGAAGCTGATGATGACTATCCTGACATAAATGATGAATATCGTCCTCTTCTGCAATTTCAACCTGCTTCAATATCTCGTTACACAATGGTACAAGAACCCCCTCCATATGGCTTTGACGAACCACCACCCTCGTACGAGGAGGCAACGCAAGGTTATGCTGATCGATCCAGTTTTAGTAGTTCAAGCAGTTCAATGGATTTTGTTCTGTATTAGAATGCTAATTTCCATTCATAGTTATTTGTATTAAAAGCATGAGAGATATTCAATTTTTGAATAACATTTTATAAACACTCAAGTACATTCATACTTATATATCATGTGTGATATTTTTTTAATGTGTATACATATCTCATTATACAGAACAATATATATGATATAGAGGAACAGTTCCTACCACTAATGTTTATATCAGTAAGTAGAGGTTGGTATTGCAACCGGGTAAATGGTGGGCTGGTGATGCGATCAGTTAAAGTTGACCTCCATCGGGACCAAGAGAACTTAGAGGTAAATGGTGGGCTGGTGATGCGATCAGTTAAAGTTGACCTCCATCGGGACCAAGAGAACTTAGAGGTAAATGGTGGGCTGGTGATGCGATCAGTTAAAGTTGACCTCCATCGGGACCAAGAGAACTTAGAGGTAAATGGTGGGCTGGTGATGCGATCAGTTAAAGTTGACCTTCATCGGGACCAAGAGAACTTAGAGGTAAATGGTGGGCTGGTGATGCGATCAGTTAAAGTTGACCTCCATCGGGACCAAGAGAACTTAGAGGTAAATGGTGGGCTGGTGATGCGATCAGTTAAAGTTGACCTCCATCGGGACCAAGAGAACTTAGAGGTAAATGGTGGGCTGGTGATGCGATCAGTTAAAGTTGACCTCCATCGGGACCAAGAGAACTTAGAGGTAAATGGTGGGCTGGTGATGCGATCAGTTAAAGTTGACCTCCATCGGGACCAAGAGAACTTAGAGGTAAATGGTGGGCTGGTGATGCGATCAGTTAAAGTTGACCTTCATCGGGACCAAGAGAACTTAGAGGTAAATGGTGGGCTGGTGATGCGATCAGTTAAAGTTGACCTTCATCGGGACCAAGAGAACTTAGAGGTAAATGGTGGGCTGGTGATGCGATCAGTTAAAGTTGACCTCCATCGGGACCAAGAGAACTTAGAGGTAAATGGTGGGCTGGTGATGCGATCAGTTAAAGTTGACCTTCATCGGGACCAAGAGAACTTAGAGGTAAATGGTGGGCTGGTGATGTGATCAGTTAAAGTTGACCTTCATCGGGACCAAGAGAACTTATAGGTAAATGGTGGGCTGGTGATGTGATCAGTTAAAGTTGATCTCCATCGGGACCTCCATCGGGACCAAGAGAACTTAGAGGTAAATGGTGGGCTGGTGATGAGATCAGTTAAAGTTGCCCTCCATCGGGACCAAAAAAACTTATAGTTAAATGGTGGGCTGGTGATTTGATCAGTTAAAGTTGACCTTCGTCGGGACCAAGAGAGCTTAGAGGTAAATGGGTGGCCGGTTATGTGATCAGTTAAAGGGGACCTCCATCAGGACCAAGAGAGCTTAGAGGTAAATGGAGGGCTGGTGATGTGATCAGTTAAAGTTGACCTCCATCAGGACCAAGAGAACTTAGAAATAATATCACTGAAGTATCAGCGGGGAACATTTCCTTCTGTGTTGGAGTTTATTGGTTGATTGTCAGATGATAATGTTTGCTTCGTTTAACAACAAGTTGTTCCAATAGTTGCCATAGGTTTGGCTGAGGGAAAATAATACACAACAGTCTATTGTAAAATATATACAGTCTTCATATTGAATTTGAGAGGAGAGAAGTGCCTTCACAGATAAATTTAAAAAAAAAAATATCTCTTACTGTCGAAATATTTTGATGATATTTCACAATGTATGAACATTATGTGGGAGGGGGGATATGTTGAGGAATGTTTTCAGGGTCTTCGATTTGAAGATCACAAAATGTGACAGTTTCTGAAATCTTGTCTGGAGACTGCTTACTTATAAAATTATTACTTAAGATATTTTGGTGGAACTCATAGACCTAGTAACCCTCACATAGAGATGCCTTAGGTCAGGACCTTGAGTCAGGGTCAAGGTCACCAACTTAGGTTAAAGTTTAATTCATCCAACTTTTTAAGGATTTCTGCGTTCCATATCTCATGGGATAAGGCAACAACACAAAGACATGTGTTTCCTGTTTCTGCTTGAACAAAATTAGGGTGGGTAGGTAGGCAGTTGTTTTTTGAAAATATTTTTACTGTGCTTATATAGAGCCGGAGTTCTGACTTTAACAGTGCTTATCACTGAGTTCAAATAAAAACTTTAGAGTGTGCAAACAAATCTAAGATCGGTAGGAAAACTGTAAACATACATTTTTTGGCCTAATGATGTAGAAGATAACATGCTCATGAGCTTGTTTCTAGAGGTCATGGTCAAACAGCATAGGCGTTGTAACGTTAGATATTATCAAGGATTTTGATCAAATGACCATTTTGTTGACTTTTTATCAAATACGTATAGGATGTGGGTGACACAGACCCCATATTGTGATCTGGTTTCAATTTTGAATTCAGAATAAAGCATTCACCCACCGTATATTATAAACATAGGCTGTAAATACAAATGTAGAGGACGTCCATGTTCAGACCACAGCTATTTGTATTTGACTTGTAATTACATTTCAGACCTCAGCTTTTTTGTATTTGACTTGTAATTACATTTCAGACCTCAGCTATTTGTATATGACTTGTAATTACATTTCAGACATCAGCTATTTGTATTTGACTTGTAATTACATTTCAGACCTCAGCTATTTGTATTTGAGTTGTAATTACATTTCAGACCTCAGCTATTTGTATATGACTTGTAATTACATTTCAGACCACAGCTATTTGTATATGACTTGTAATTACATTTCAGACCTCAGCTATTTGTATTTGACTTGTAATTACAGAGTACCTGTTTGTGTACTCAGATTTCTGTTTACAATGTACAATGTCAGTCTTATACTCAAACAGATTATTAAATTTCAATACTCATTTGAACTTATTATGTATATTTACATATTTAATTAACATACTTTTTGAGAAGGAAACAGACAGATGTGTTAGTGTTAATATCGACATACATATACGTCGATGGAACTACAAATCCTTCTACATCCCTTTAGTAACCAGATAGTCATTATTTCCACCTTACATTATAATTGTATAAAACTTTGTGTTACAGTATTTGACCTAATAAATGTCCGTTCCCTTATAAGGGTCCCTATCATTTTCTGGTTGAAGCATTCCTTCCCTCCCCCATATCTTACCAATACACAAAGTACCTGTTATATCATTTTCTGGTCGGAGCATCCCTTCCCTCCACCATATCTTACCAATACACAAAGTACCTGTTATATCACTTTCTGGTCGGAGCATCCCTTCCCTCCCCCATATCTAACAAATACACAAAGTACCTGTTATATCATTTTCTGGTTGAAGCATTCCTTCCCTCCACCATATCTTACCAATACACAAAGTACCTGTTATATCACTTTCTGGTCGGAACATTCCTTCCATATCCTCCCAATACTCAAAGTACCTGTTATATCATTTTCTGGTCGGAGCATCCATTCCCTCCACCATATCTTACCAATACACAAAGTACCTGTTATATCACTTTCTGGGCGGAGCATCCCTTCCCTCCCCCATATCTAACAAATACACAAAGTACCTGTTATATCATTTTCTGGTCGGAGCATCCATTCCCTCCACCATATCTTACCAATACACAAAGGACATGTTATATCATTTTCTGGTCGGAACATTCCTTCCATATCCTCCCAATACTCAAAGTACCTGTTATATCATTTTCTGGTCGGAGCATCCCTTCCCTCCACCATATCTTACCAGTACACAAAGTACCTGTTATATCATTTTCTGGTCGGAGCATCCCTTCCCTCCACCATATCTTACCAGTACACAAAGTACCTGTTATATCATTTTCTGGTCGGAGCATCCCTTCCCTCCTCCATATCTTACCAATACACAAAGTACCTGTTATATCACTTTCTGGTCGGAGCATCCCTTCCCTCCTCCATATCTTACCAATACACAAAGTACCTGTTATATCATTTTCTGGTCGGAGCATTCCTTCCCTCCACCATATCTTACCAATACACAAAGGACCTGTTATATCATTTTCTGGTCGGAACATTCCTTCCATATCCTCCAAATACTCAAAGTACCTGTTATATCACTTTCTGGTCGGAACATTCCTTCCATATCTTACCAATACTCAAAGTACCTGTTATATCATTTTCTGGTCGGAGCATTCCTTCCCTCCACCATATCTTACCAATACACAAAGGACCTGTTATATCATTTTCTGGTCGGAACATTCCTTCCATATCCTCCAAATACTCAAAGTACCTGTTATATCACTTTCTGGTCGGAACATTCCTTCCATATCCTCCCAATACTCAAAGTACCTGTTATATCATTTTCTGGTCGGAGCATTCCTTCCCTCCTCCATATCTTACCAATACACAAAGGACATGTTATATCATTTTCTGGTCGGAACATTCCTTCCATATCCTCCAAATACTCAAAGTCCCTGTTATATCACTTTCTGGTCGGAGCATCCCTTCCCCCCCCCATATCTTACCAATACACAAAGTACCTGTTATATCACTTTCTGGTAGGAGCATCACTTCCCTCCTCCATATCTTACCAATACGCAAAGTACCTGTTATATCACTTTCTGGTAGGAGCATCCCTTCCCTCCCCCATATATTACCAATACACAAAGTACCTGTTATATCACTTTCTGGTCGGAGCATCCTTTCCCTCCTCCATATCTTACCAATACACAAAGTACCTGTTATATCATTTTCTGGTCGGAGCATCCCTTCCCTCCTCCATATCTTACCAATACACAAAGTACCTGTTATATCATTTTCTGGTCGGAGCATCCCTTCCCTCCTCCATATCTTACCAATACACAAAGTACCTGTTATATCATTTTCTGGTCGGAGCATCCCTTCCCTCCTCCATATCTTACCAATACACAAAGTACCTGTTATATCATTTTCTGGTCGGAGCATCCCTTCCCTCCTCCATATCTTACCAATACACAAAGTACCTGTTATATCATTTTCTGGTCGGAGCATCCCTTCCCTCCTCCATATCTTACCAATACACAAAGTACCTGTTATATCATTTTCTGGTCGGAGCATCCCTTCCCTCCACCATATCTTACCAATATAAAACGCCTGTTATGACTATCATTTGAGGGTTTCACAAGTTCCTGCAATCATTCTCATTTTCGTGAATTTCTAATCACCCAACTTATCTAGTTTTAAAAAGTAATTGTTATGAAGGAGCTAACTATCAGAATATATAATACACAAAGGGAGATAATCCTGCTATGAAACACTGGTAACACAAACACACCCGGTCATAGAGCTTTAGGCTCTCTCTATTTTTAGTGGTAATCTCATAATTTTAAAATATCCATAGCATGAGTCTTGGGTCTTTTCATTCAGCTCTTTAATTACAAACGCTTGTGTTTTATCCATTTGTATACAGATACACAGTGTGTCTTTGATGTATGTCTGAGGAGGGAAGTCCGGTTAATTATACCTCTGTTTTTCAGGGGTGTCAGATTTGGGAGAAGCATGCTTTGTCTTTATATATCATTTCTAACCCTATAGCACCCTGGCCCCTTACCAATTTATGGAAAGTTTGAATGATTGAAATTGTAAAAGAAGAAATCTGAAAAGATTTTCAAGAACAAAATGTAGCAAAACACAATTTTTTTTCAATTAAGCAGATAAATTATATCGAAAGGATCCGACACTTGCACCAGAAAAAGGACAGCGGGTACTTATATATACATGTGTAAGAGATGGGGAACTTAAAAGGTCAGATATAGTATATGATTGTTTGAGATTATTTGTACTGTTCAGCATATTGTAAAGCTGTTTTGCTGACGTTGACCTATATGTATATATATATATATATTGGGAATAGTAAGTATATAATATTATGCAAATAAAAATGGTTGATATTAAGTGACGATTTTCTATTTTTATCAGTGAACCATTAAGATATATAAACTGTGATATGATGTATTGCATGTTGTACATACTTCACCTTTGTTTATTTATTTTTTATTTTTGAGTTTTGATATCCAGAGTCCAATATCATGTTTCTCCACTGTGTTTATGATATGAAATATCTTTTTGAATCTAGATTTAAGCACTGAGAACTGAT